TTATATTTCTATTTTATTACAATCATTCTTTCAGCTATTCCTACTACTAGCCGGAATCTATAAAACTTTCTAAATTAGATGACACTATTCCAGACTATTTGATTAAAATGAAGTTTAATCCTATTGACATCTAAATTAAGAAATATTCACCCTTATTTGAAGTTTACTATTCTATAAACTCATTAGCATTAACGTTACATAACGGAAATAAATTCCATTTCTAATTGTATACGGATTTTTGTATTGTATATATGTAGGATGTATTGAGTGCTTACTGTACAATCCCTAGAGTATGTTCAAACTTTACTCTCTAACAAATTCAAATATTAAAAAATAATGTTCTATTTATCTGGATTTCCATAGGGTAATGTAATATACTATTATGAGGTGACTACTGGGTTGCTAAGACATTGGAATTTAACTGAGTAAATCTCATATACTTTCTTGTCTATTAATCTTAGACTAATTGTTTTGCCTTTTACGTTGTCTTATATTATATGCAAATACCGATCCAGATAATCTTACTTGTAATACATTATTGGATCTTATTAAATCGTTTTGATATAATTAAGACATTTTTCCTAATATCATTAAGGTAAATGTATTATATAAATTAATATGGCTGCTTTTTGTCAAAGTAATATAAGATTAGATGCAATATAGATAAATATACTAACGTATTGCTCTATTCTTAACTTTGTACCGCCTTATTTGGTTTTCTCGCTTCGTTGCTCAGAATGGAGAGCTCTGCTAAGGTCCACGTTCATCCTGTTGTCCTCTTGTCTATTATCGATTCTTACGAGCGTCGTAACGAAGATTCTACCAGGGTCATCGGTACTCTGCTTGGTAATTATCGTTTATTACTGTACTTTTCTCAGGCAATTTTGATAAGGGTATTATTGAAGTAACTAACTCATATGCTGTCCCTTACAAAGAATCGGACCATGACGTACGAATGGATTTTGAATACGCCCAATCAATGTTCAAAATTAAAAGAAAGGCATGTGCTTTATTTAAATTTAACTTGCTAGATAAACCGAAACGAGCGCATTGTTGGTTGGTATGCTAGTGGAAATGAGATAACTGAACACGCCAAACTCATCCATCAGGATTATTATATGCAGCACTACAAAGATGCTATATTCCTTCTTGTTGATGCAGAATTATCCTTTGGTAACAAAATGGCACTCAAAGCCTTTCGCAGCAGACCTGTTGGAGTTCCTGGTGCAACCAGAGGCATTATATTTCTCCCACTGGATGTTGATGTCGAATGCAATGGTCCTGAACAAACTGCCGTCCATATGATGGCTGGTGGCTCTGCTGCCCGGTCGAAAGACAAATCTGAGGTTTGGCGCGTTAACATTGTCTCTTATTCATCCATTAATCGTTTGACTTTTAACTGTGATTTATGGTTCACTATTTTTTCCTATAATTTTTTGCAGATGGGCGATGACCTAATCTACCTATGTCAGCTATCAAGTCGCATTCAAGAAATGCTAGATCATGTATTGCTATATGTTGAGCAAGTCGTAACCGAATCTAAGCCCATGGAAAGTAGTATTGGACGAGCTATTGCACAATTAATATTCTCCATTCCTAAATTAGATCCAGAACTGATTGATAATCTCATCAATTCAAGCTTCAGAGACTTGCTTATGATCACTTATCTTACAAACCTAATAAAGACTCATTTGAAACTTCTAAACCTTGCAAATTAGACAAATAAATTCATTATTTTTTCTCGTTGACACGAGCACATTTCCTGATTTGAAGATTGACGCTAAGTGCATTGATATTTATTAAGTTGTGCTATTCTGGCTTTCGCTTTTCTCGCAATTAGTTCGTATTCGCATTTCATACCGTCGTCAATTTTTCTCATCCTTTGGCTCGTACTGCTACAAATAGACGCATTATTAACCAAAGAAAATAGGTTCCAAATGAACACCCATATTACTTGTTTGTGTGTGGGTGCCAGGAAGGAAAAGTAAAACTAAATCGGAGAATGTATAATAGCGACTGCTGTTCCTACAATCAGAAGCGGCCTTGTTACTAAGTAGATCAACTTCGATATTTTGGGAAACAGTACTCGTTTTATCCTAACCAGGCGGCTATGTGATTTCGACAACCTAGTAGTATCTATGATGACACTCATTTTATTTACTCTTCAACTTAGTAAGCGTCGAGGGGAGGAGTTTAATTTTCAAATGGTTTATACTCGGTCTCCTTTCACATAAACCTCAAGACTGTTCCACCTACAGCAAAATGATATAAATGAGCAATTTGGCTACTCATTTAATCGAAAGGAAAATATATGTGACTTAACGTATTGGGGTTACTTTCATTTTGCATGAAAGGGAATGAAGAGGAAATTCGTTGGTCAATCTCACCAGATGAATACGAATAAATCTTGTACTGCAGCCGTTTTTTTTATACCATGTTCATGTTGACGCAGTCCACGATATTTCACTCGAAACGAGGGAGGAAATTTCGTAAACTGTGTCAATATGAACATCGTATAAAAGCCAAACGGCTGTAATATAACGAGATTCATACGGTGAGATCGACCAACGAATCTCTTCTTCATTCACTTTCGTAAAATGAAAGTCCCCCCAACAATGTTATCTCAGGAGATTCATCGAAATTCAGTTTCTAATCGTATATAAACATAACTTAGCCATCCTAAGTCGCCTAAGGTGATTCGGGGGTTGACAGCGAAGTTCTTCCCAACTTTAGTACCACTAGGG